AAAGAAACTAATTTTCATTCTTTCTTCAGACTGCCATTAGAAGGTCAGGGGGAAACCTTAAATAGTCACCCCAGTTTTGCAAATAAAAGAATATCTTGAAATCTTTATTGACTGTAGTTTGAACCCACCTTTGCACTCTGATAATGATAAATACAAGCCACAACACAAAACTTTAATGGCAGAATATTTCAAGCTGCTTCATGAATAAAAATGTTACCCCTTAAAATGACTGAGTCTTCCTCTCTGTGGCCTTCACACCTGTATGGTATTGAACTTCCCTTTTCCAGTGTGGCTTTTTTGTTACTATTATATGGCTAGATATGAAAATACTTTCAATCTGATAAGCTCACTTGGCTGTATAATCATTTCCAGCCCCCTGGAGTGGGTGGTTGTGCTCACTTCTCCAGCCACATCAATCTTTTGCAGCAATGACAAGCCCCATGACAGCAGCTGGGTTGCAGACACATTTGCCTGGAGTTCCTCACATGCACCCTCTGCACCAAAGAAATCTCATAAGGGACATCGTTCTCTTGAACAGGGTACAGTGAAAAGGAACCTCCTCCTCAATAAGGAGCTTGTGGTGCCAGGATGGCTTTTTGTTATTCTTTACACATTAAATAATAACCAAGGTGGTTTAATAAGATGTGTCCAAGGATATTACTAGGCTATAGATGTTCCTCAAAACTCAAATGCCCACAAACTCAGAGGCCCTGGGCACACCAGGACTGCAGGCATGCTGGAATTGGGTGGTGGGCTAGGACTTCTTTCTGCCTTGAGATACTAGATGAGGACAAAATCCTTGCCTGCACAGGAAAGCTGGGATTACAGCATGACCTGAGCATGCAGAACTACCAAAGACTTACAGGAGGGAGCAAGGAATACAACAGCCTTCATTGCCCAGTCTTTGCCAGTGTTGCTCCTCTATAGACCCTATCCCTCACCTTCTTTTTAGGAAGACTGGCAAAGACCTGTCCTTCTCTTCTTTGGCCTGTTCTGGGATAAATCTCTTGCAACAGCTTCAGGATTTCTCATAATGACCTTGTCCATGTTCCATTCTCCCAGAGAGCTGCCTGGTGGCTCTTTTTGATGGAAAAGGATGAACCAAGGTGAAGGTAGTGGAGAGAATAGAAGAGAGCAAGCAGCTGATGGGTCAGTGCTGACTTCCTTTGGGCACATGTGGAAACTAGCTCTGGTGCAACCAAACACGCACAAAAGTTGTCAGCCATGTGCCAACCATCTCCTGCATCCCAGCACTGTCAGATGGAGAGCTGAAACTCCCCTTGAGATAGAATTGTTGTGCAGAGGGAGGCTGTGTTATCCTCCCATCCACACCTCAGTGGCCATTTGTTTCATAATGCCATCTTGCTCCCACAAGGTGAAATAGAGCAGGGTCTGGAAGACATGGGCACTACTGCTGCCATTTCATGGATGGGCAAAGGAAACAGACCTGGAACACCCTTCTGAGGCATTTATCAGCAGGAGAATAGGGAACCAAAAGTAGGTTTCCCCGGGGCATAGCTGATATGCCACTGCACTACAACACCTGCAGCGAAGACCTCAGCCCAGCTGGGAACCAAGAGGAACTGAATACTTGGCCACTTGGTCTTATAAATTTCATAGGTTTTAAAGTTGGAAGGGACAATCCCTGTCAGCTTGATCTCCTGTAATACAGAGGTCTGGGAATTTCCTCCAGTGGGACTTGCTCTGAAGAGTAGGCTTTAAGGTTTAAAAAGATCTTGTTGCAAAACAGCCGGACTTAATCTGGAAACCTCACACAACAGAGAATTCACAACAACTTTCAGCATTTTATTCCAGTGACAGACTACTCTCCCTGCCAAGCGTGAATAGTCTAAATTGTAAATTTATTTCTTCCTACAAAGTAACTATATTTCAATAGCTTGACAGCCAGAGTTAATCTGACCTAACACCCAGATGATTATATTTGGTCAGATGAGTCTTACCTCTCCAGCGACTTAAAAGAAAGGCATTAACTACAAGGTGATTCATTGCCTTTGAAATTAGGTATGATGGAAAAATAGCTTTAAGTTTGCATGGGCCTGCCAGGTGAATAACACCCAGAAGCTCTCTCAAGGCAGCTAAATTGAAAACAAACAGAACCCTGATTTGCAGCAATGTAAGGGTGCCTGCTGCCAGGGAAAATGCCATCTGCAGTTAACTCCATCTTTCCCTCCCCACACTTTAATAACACTTCAAGGTCTCTTGAAATGTGGCATATCAAACTATTCTCTGCATTGCCTTCCTTACACGGTTAGCAAAGAGCTGCCCATATCGTGACCCATATGGGACAGACCCTTCTGGAAAGTGAAGCTGACTTCTCCAGCTTTCTATCTGCTGATGGCAGGCTGTGCCTGCCCCTTTCCCCATGGTAATGGATTTACTCAGCAGTGCTTGGCACTTCTCCAAAAGATCCCAGAAAAGCCAAAGCTTTACATAGTGGGGATATGATTAAGACAAAAAAAATTAAGCTGAAACTGGTATGGTATTTCATTGCAGTTTTAGTAAGGGTAATAGCAAACACCATTGAGACACAAGTAAGGCAAACGTATAGAGAAAGGCAATTACCTACATGCCAGGTAGAAACAGAAGGAATGTGGTAGGTAATGTGCCAAAGTTAAAAGAAAAAAAACAACCCACACACCAAGATAAAAAACAAAACAAAAAACCATTTTGAATAAAAAGTCTTAAGGTCTGTAGTAAGAATTTCAATATATGATCAAGTCAGTTGAAGATACGATGTGGTAGAAGAGTAGAAAAAGGACTAACAGTCCTGAAGGGAAATGGGAATTCTTAGTTGATCTGCAGCTATGTTAGTTATCACAGTAATATGCAATATACAGAGATTTTGAGGGATAAACTTTCAAGATAATAATGTAATAAAGTAGCATGCTGACTGCAGGTAGAGTGTATCAAACTTGGCAACTTCCTTGTGAAAAGCCCTTTGATTTCTAGTTGAATTGCAGGAAGCCACATTCATCCAGACATCACCAAATTGTTCAGTATGGCAGCATATAGGAAGTTCTGAGTTATTTTAAGACAATACAATTAATACAGGAAAGATACAGCAATACACAACATCAACCAAAGAGCAACAATGACTATTTACAGAGGGGACAGGCTAGAAGAAAGCTGTTTGTGTAATTCTGTGAGCACTGGTTCAGGTCAGTAATACCTTTCCTTGTATGGCACAGCCAACAAAAGTGACAAATGAAACATGCTGGGTGATGCTGGACAATACACTGAATGTGGAGTAAGATTGCACACTCAGAACTGGGTTAAGTGAGAGGGTAGTAAGAGAATTAAATAGTACAAAGGGCAAGAGACAACTGCTGACCTCTTGGTTCTTCTGTCTTCAGAAGAAGACGCCTGGCACCAGGACACCTTCCTACTGAGCACAGAAACCCCCATCTCCTCCCACCTGCCTCTAAAGCCAAGCCCAAAAGCAAAAGGAATAAAACACAAATGGAACATAGAATCACAGATTGGTTTGAGCTGGAAGGGATCTTAGAGATCTCCTAGTTCAAACCCCTTTCCACTAGTCCAGGTTGCTCCAACCCCCATCCAACCTGGCCTTGAACACTGCCAGGGGTGGGGCAGCCACATATATATGTATTGCCTGAAAGGGTTAATTCCCTTTTGCTCCTATGGGCTGAAGAGGAAAGGGTGAAGTTTGTTGGCAGCTGCTTAGTAATACAACCAACACTTTTGCAGTGAGTATCGATATTTTATTTTTCAAAAAGGCAAAAAAAAAAAAAAAAGAATACATCATTTTAGCAACTGGAAATGTGCACAAAGTTACATATTTCAAGGAATTCACACATTAAAGAAAGGTTTTGAAAGAGTTTCTTTAATGCATGGGACTCAAAAATTCTTTCACAACCGATACTGCTTGTTTCAAATACTCTATAGTAATATGGTATTGGGAGAGCCTGAAATCCCCTAAGATGCCAGCACTGCTAGTACAGGAGGTGCCTGACCTCAGTCTCTCAGCCATGAGTACCAGGGATACCCCAGTAACTCCAGTAGGTAGAAAAAGAGACACTCCAGCAACATAATGCCACAATCTAAGGCCACCCCAAGGAAAATCAACAGTATCTCAAATCTGTCAGAGACTAGGCAGTTCCCATGCATCTTTAAATGAACTCATCCCAACCCTGGTGTTTAGTAACAGCTTTAAGGAGTATATTTATATAAATCTATTTTAAAAAATAATCAAAACACTATTGCAAAATTCACATGAACACACACAACTGTAGCAACACCATGTTTCCAGTGGAACTTGGTTATTAGCTGCTTGGAGTTTATATACAAAGCTGATTAATTAGAAAGGCTGCTATAGGGAGCCAAGCTTTCTTTCCAGGTTAGCCCCTGGCTAGAACAATGATTTCCGATATCCGATGTTGTCTTCTAGGAGTTGGCAATGTTAATAATTCTGATTAGAACACCAGGGTGCAGTGGTTTGTAAACACTTTATCTTAATATTAAATTAATATCCAGAGCATTCTCACTCTCTGCTCTGACACAATAGATCAGCTGATTGATACAGTGTTCTAGGAATTAATGGGAGTTATAAACAGTTTGGCTAATAGAAATCCTTTAGATCAGTTCATTCCTGGTGCCAAGTTATTGTCTTCGGAGCAACAAGCATGAATTTGACCCACAGTAGAGTCAGGCAAATTTTTCTGAGGATGTAGGAGTTTCCATTCAATGCTAACAAAACAATTTAAGTTTTGCATGATCCTCACCCTACAGAGAGAAGCAGTTTGCCAAGTTGACAGGCAAGACCAGCAACACAGTCCAAAAGAGCTCCAGATTCCTGAGTACCTGGCCCATGTTGCAGGTGCTGGACAGTAATGCCCACTTCTCTTCTGACTCCTACAGTCCTCCACCCGCTTCTACTAGGGAAAGATTACATGATACTGCATTTGGGGAAACACTCACAGGAAACTGCCTAAAGAAAACACATTAGAGATATACACAAAAAAGGCTAAAATATCTCAAGACAGGAAAAAAAGATCTTCCTGTTGTTCTTGAAGCTCTTCTTAACTCCTTCTTCTTTGCCAGCTGCAGTCCTGAGTAACGAATGTCTGCCAGACCTGGCAGACAGCTTCCTCAGACCCTTTCCTTGTGCTTTATATTAGCCAGCTTGACTGTTTCCTGCTCACAGGCAGGTGGAGAAGGCTCATCATGACATCCAATCATCAGCTGGTAGACAATCACTCCTGCAATAGCCCCAAGGAAAGGAGCAACGATTGGAACCCACCACCAGTGTTGGCCAGTCCTGGAAAAAAAAAAAGAAAGTGCACAAGGTAAGAGCCTAAGCCTTAGGATATTTATGTTTGAGTGTGGAACAGTGCAAGAGCTGATAATCTCCAAACATGATCATCGACTTGCAAAAGACAATACTAGCCACATATCCATGGCAATTCCCAAGGCAGATATTGCCCCTCTCTGCATCTCCAGGTGACAAGCTATTCAGAACAGCTGCTTCCAGGACGTCCAATACTGTCTCTCCACCAAGAAGAGAAGCATTTGCAGTGCCTGCACTAGGCACCTTCACTTCCCTGACACTGCTTGCAGGTAAGTATACCCCAATAGCACATACCCTGTTTTGCTCTCAGCTGTCTTCAGCAGCAGCAAAATCCAAGTATAAGAAGCACCCTCCATTTTCTACCACCAAAAGAATGATGATAGGTTTATGTTCCAGGTGTACCCGAACTTCTCATGAATGCTCCTAGATTTCCACCTTGATAGCAAAGTTGGGTCATTACTGTCACCACTGGGAACTAACCAGTTTCTGCAATTTCTTAAGTAGTTGGAGTGGAGCAAACTGCTTGGGTTTTTTTAGAAGATTTATAGAAAACAAAGATACCTCATGAGTGCTGAGACCCTTTATGGTACCACAGCTAGCACGTATTTGGACTCCTTGCTGCACAAGGTTTTTACTGACAAGCACTTACCAAAACACTTCAGAGCCCCAGCCAGCAATGGCTGTGAAGAGACGAGGCCCAAAGTCCCTGGCAGGGTTGACAGCATAGCCAGAGTTGAAGCCCATGGAGGTTCCAATAACGAGGACAACAAAGCCAACTGTGAAAGCCTCCAGTCCAGTGGGGATAGGGTTGTTGTAGGGATCGACAATAGCCAAGACACAAACAATCAGGGCAGCAGTGCCAATGAACTGAGGAGAGCAGGGAAGAAAAAGAAGGATTTAATCCACATTAATCTTATAACCAAGCTATTTAACTTTTCAGAAGTCTCATGCAGTCAGGACTTCTAAACTGGAATATCTTCACTAAGTCATCCCATGGCATTATCAGACCACAGTAGACTGAGCACCTATGGAAATGGGAGAGGGAAACATGCTCCTCCTTGAAGCCCACAGGCTCAATCAAGCCCACACCTTTTTCCCTACCTATGGAACAGCTATGAATAACTGAGCAGCCTCTTCCTGAACCTGCTTCCAACCTGCCATAGCTGGCAGGCTGCTGTCCCTTTGTGGTGGATGGCAACTTTAAGGAGGAGACAGTCACCTCCAACACCAACCACCACCCTACACCCAGCTGACCTCTGGGTTGTGCAACATCCACAGTAGTACAGTGGGAGAGAAAAAGAAACATTTTCTCATACTGTGGTTCTTCAGAGGCTGGGAGCAAGCGATATCCTTTCCACTGGTATCCTGGGCAGTGTTGTAACACTGGTTAATCCCCTTAACACAAGCCTTCTGACTGCAAGGGTCCTTTCTGGCTTTGCCCTTCCTATGAGCCAGTGAGATGTGCCAGCTCTAAAAACGTTTCTGGATATCTTCTCTGTAAGTTGCAATTCATTCTCTAAGTAAATCAGAGGCCCACAGCCAACCTAAAAGATTTATCTTCCAATGTACCTGCATCCTCCCAGCACCCTCTTACCTGGTCAAAGAATCCATTCACAAGGTTCAGATGCTTAGATGGGTAGGTAGCAAAGATTCCAGCAGTGCCATTCAGTCCTACCACACTCAGCTTATTATTGCCAAAATCCCAGATGGCATCTGGAAGGGATGGGAAGACAGACAGGTCAGTAATTTTCCAATACACATCACCCTGCTTGGAAGATTATTACATTGTAGGCTCCACAGAGCCATGAATATTGAGATAGAATTTCCAGAGTGTTTTGTGTTGCAAAATCATTTGCTGTAGAGCAAATACTCATTTGGAAAATGTAGGATGTGATCCACCACAGCATTTTACCAGTCAGGCTCAGGTACAGAAGGCCTGAGTCCCTGATCCTAATAGTTCTTGTTTGTCACACACAGGCAAGGAGTTAAAGCCAAAAAGTAAACGCTAAAGTGACTCCAAATCTCTCCCACAGGTCACCCAAATGCCTGTGGTATCAGTCTTTGTATCAAGACATGAGGTATTGCTATGGATATGATCTGCAGCAAATAGGATTTGGGCTGATCATGCACTTTCTTTTAAGCCAATACACAATTAGTTTCACGTTTTGGGGTCTTCTTGTAGAAGAGTCAGCCCTTTGCCTACCACTAAATGGGAGATGGATAACCAACCTAGGTGGGCTGTCTAGTTTCCCTCCATGGTCAGTGGAGAGAAAAACCAGACACTTCTGAATGTAGCTCTTCTATGGATTAGAATGGAAATGGGATTAACTCTCTTATGAAGAAGAGACTTCAGCCCATCAACTAGGAAGGTAACCAGTGTTGCAGTCCTCACATTTACAGACATAAAGGTATGTCCCACTGCTTCTTTCTAAGGTGATAACGCTGGGGTGACAGTTTTCCCAGGAACATGCGTCAGGAGGAACAGATGCATGACGAAGTGGATATCTATTATGCTTTCCAAGGTGCACAGACATGAAATTTTCATTACTACTAATGTTTCATTGGCTTTTCCGTCAGTCTAAAACAGAAAGATCTGGTTTAGACCATACTCTAGATACAAAAGGGGCCTTACAAAGGCCCACTGATCATTACTCAAGGACAAAGACTTGCACATTGATAGTGTTGGTTGGCCTCCAGATTGATTGAAGAATGCTTGAAACCAGCATCATGAGAATCGAAAATCCCCCCAGAAACATGGTAAGAAAGTTTGTAAGATCTCTGCTCTGCAAGAAATTGCTTCTCTCTGTTCTGCAAACAAGCTTCCCTGCAGTGAGTCATGAAGAGCAGTAGTCTCACCCTAATAAATGCACAGGGCTTCTTCACTTACCATGGTAGAGCCCAAAGATTATGCCAGCTCCAAGGAAAGCCCCCAGGGTTTGAGCTAGGGCATAAACTGGTAGCTTGATCCAGGGCTCCCGGGCCAAGAAGCACATGGCAAAGGTGACAGCTGGGTTCAGGTGTCCACCTGCAGAGAGGTTGGTGATTAGTGTACTTTTATAGGCAGAATTTAGGTCCCAGAGATGATCCAAGGGACACTGGTTTCCGTACCAGTGCCAAATAGGAAATGTACACCTATCCAGGTCTACACAACAATCATCACAAGTTAAATCCAGCCCACACAGAACACAACGTACCTGATACCTGTCCTGCAATAAGGATGCCAAGTGTTACAGCAAAGCCAAAGGCCAGGTTGACAGTCAGGAAACCTCCATGAGACCCTCTGCTGAGCAATGTCTGTGCCACGGAGCCACAGCCAAACAGCTAGGAGAGAAAAAAGGGTGGAAATTGCCCTCTCTGTTTCACATCAGGGAAAGTTGCTGACTGATCCCTGCAACAGCTCCTTAGATCTGCAAGCACCATAACAGCTCACCCATAACTCAAAGCCTTCAAAGCTTCAACCTTTCATCAGAGTATCTAGGAGTTCTCTCTAGGGACAGCAGGGAAGGAGAAAGGACACAGGACAAGCCTATCTCCTGTCAGGGGGAATCAAAACCAGGGCCAAAACCAAAAGCAAGATTGGACAATAGGAGGCTGGAGGTCTTTGTACAGCCATCTAATTTTAAGATGGTAGGTGAGAAAAATGAGCCAGATATCACCCTGGACTGAGGTATTTACAGTGCAACTGCTCAGATGAGGGATCTGGGTACCTTACTGTTAAAAGAGGCTAACAATTTTTTGACACATAGATTGACAGGGGATAATTTTGCTATTGCCTGGAAATACAGACATGATGAAGGCCATATTCAGCCTGATATTCATGGAGTCTTCTTTCAGGTGGCACTGGCTGACAGTGAGGGACTGGGGCTGCCTGCTAGAGCTGAGGTGCCCACAGTTGTCCCAGCCCCAATGTACACTCTGCTGTGGCTACTCTGAGCACAGCCCACACCATTCCTCTGAGCACATTCCACACCACCCATATCCTTCCTATGGCAAAACCATGTCACAGGGGATCAGGGCGACACAGCTGGCCTATCTCAGCAGTACCAGCATGGCACAGACACCATCAAGAAAAGTCCATGTTCTAGAGAGACCACCACCAGCACAATCAGAGGCTTGGCCTTCTGTCCAAGATCAGGTGTGTGCCAAGCACTCTGGGGAACAAAAGCTGTTTCTGTTGGGTATAAAGGGTGTTGTAGTAGCTAATGGAAACACATGCTCTTGGCTGAAAGACATTTGCTCCAAACTGGTGAACCTTCTCTTCCCAACCACATCCAAACACCATCTTTCCATGCTTCGATCCAAACCAGAATCTTAAGAACCCAAACCAGTTTTCCCTGGCAGCTCAGCTTAATCACTCATCCAGCTGGAAGCTTTCTGCCTTGCCAAATCTTACCACCACTCATCTTGTAATTTAAGGAGCCCTAATACTAAAAATCTGTATGCTTGTTTCTTCCAGTGACTCCACCTGAACTGATTCTTGGTGTTCATCAGGGATTATCATATAAGCACATACTGAGAGCATCCTTAAACTAGAACAGGTATTACAGCTTTTTCCAGAGATCCTCAAATATAGGGGTCAAGGCTTAACCTAAATCTTCTGACTACATAAATATATGTATGCACCCTCAAGACTTTCTGCTCATGTGAAGTCCATCATCTCAGAGTTACTCAGTTGTCATAGAGGCATTATTTGCTTGTAGGGGATAAGCCACCAAATAAGCACCAAGGCAGCAGGAGCACCTGTCTTCACCCCTCCTGCCAATACTGAACATGACCATTGAGCAACACACAACCCAGATCAGGGGCAAAGCCAAAACACACCTAACTATTCCCCTCCCATCCCCTTGACAACAGATGAATTACTAACTAAGTAAACACTGCACACAGCCTACAGTGAAAGGAGCAGCCAGGTAGGCTGCAGTCTGACAAGGTGGACACTGTACAGAGGTGCATCTTGACAAGAGGCCAGGTCCCCAACACAGGACCTTATGCGGAAAGGACAAAGGAACCTGTAGAACTCGTTAGTTAACAATAAGAATGGCCAGCAAGCACTGCTCTTGCAGTCAAAACAGGCCTTTCAGTGTCCTAACACTGAGCTGCCTGGGTGGGAAACCATGGCAGAGAAGATGGCCCAAAGGCAGAAAAGATGAGTCTTGTTGTGCAGCAAATAGGGCCATCATTCCCAGCTATACCCAAACCACCAAAGGAAGCATAATAGCTCCAACTGATCAAATAAATACAGGCCAATGACCAGGGTGACGCCCATTCCTTCCCTTACCCCAGATGAGCCCCAGCATGCTTTATTCAGAAGTTTGGAGAGAGTACTTGGCCATGGTGTTTGCCTCTCTAAGGCCAGACAGCACATCAGGATGAGCCGGGAGGGGTGTGGGCCTACAAAAAGCTGCAGTGGACATCTGAGTTCAGTAGAGTCGACCCCAGATTATTCCTAGTGATGAAGGTATTTGTGTTATTCACACTGAAAGAACTCTCAGTTCTGCAAGTGGATGGTGGTTGGCTCATTAGCCACATACCTCTTGGTTGCAGAAACCACAGAGTAAAGTTCCCCCCCCCCGTCTCCACTCCCCTGTTCACCCACAACAGTCTTCCCTTAACCTGGAGGAATGCCAGCTCTGACATTTCTCAAGAGGTTATTCCCCATCCTCCTCTCCCCCATCCTACACCTGGCAATAGCTCTCCAGCTTTTCCGCAGAAGAAAGTCTATGGGCCATGCAAAAACACCCCGGAGCTACTCCACAGAAGCATTACAATTATTTATCAGATGAGCCCTGAGCACTATTTGGCTTAATTCAGTGTAACAGCAGAAAACTTGACCCTTAGCAGATTTAAAAGTGTAAGGCAATTTTTAGGGACAGGTTTGAACCTTGGCATGCATATCTGCAATTCCATCCTGCAACAGTGACATCCACTCAGCATGAACATAAATTCTTACACATGATGTCCATCCACGGCATTTGACTTTTAGGAACCAGTTCAAATCATGCTCACCCCTGCTTTTGTGACAAGTGGCTTGAAGTTACAGTGGTTATTACAATAACCACTCTGGTAGTGGTTATTCCGATTTTTAACCACAGTATTTTAACTTCTGCTATTTGCTAGCTTTCTTTCTGTTTCCTTTTCCCTCAGCAGGGAGAGACAGGAGACCCTCAGCATCCGTTTCTTAGGTCTTCCTTTACCAGTGCTTGCAGAGAAGTGTTTAGGAGCTGCTTGAGTATAAAAGCAAGGAAGGTCATATAAAAGCACTTCAGTGTTCATCCCAGTGGCTTTTAAGTGCATGCAATGGATGTAAAAGTCCTACGCAATATTATACCACTATGGTCACGGACAGTGGTGCACGCCCAAGGGGAGATGACTCATTCTCTTGAATTTAATAGTCTGCCTCCAACACTGCTATAAAGGAAATGAAATAAAAGACCCAAAACATTACAGGAAGAACATCCCCACCAACAGAAACCTAGGTTAGCACCTCACATGGCAGTCACCTGTTATACCCCTGTGAAACACTAGCCAGGTTTAAAAGCACTTTTAAAGTGCTAATAAAATGATTGCAACAAAACTTCACTCTGATGTATTAAAGCTACTCTCCTAGGAATTGAGGTCAATGCATCCATTTACCAGGTTAATGGAAGCCTGCTCCCCAATTTCATCTTACTGGCTCTAGCGCATCTAACGCCTTCCCTGCCAACAGGGAAGCTTCTCACTCCTCATGAGCTAATCCAACTCCTTGCACTGCAAAGAACAACAAAATTCAAGTTCTGCAGAATCCATGAGCTGAACCAGTTCAAGGGTGAAGGGGCCAACAAACACCAGAGAGGAGCAGCACCTCTGGGGCGGGGGTACAGCCAGAAGGGAGAGGACAGCAGAAGCAGCAAAACAAGGAAGAGGTAGCAGGTCGCTAGGTGAAACTTCATACTCTGGGAAACTTTAAACTCCCTTTGTGCAGGACATGTTTGGAGAATGGCCATTTGGTGTTGTTACCCAAGGTGAAAACGCCCTGAATCGAAGACTGGGCATGAGAAAGATTCAGAGCCTGTCAGGGCTGGTAGGAAAAGACCTTGGAGGACAAAGAAAGAGAAAAAGCTAAAGAAGAAAAAAGGCCATCTGAGCTTATAGGCAGACCTTGCAGAAAGCAGATCAAGAGAAATACAGCGCTCAGCCAGGTTTCTTCCCTTTCTTGCATTCTCTTTTCTTTGCCAATGGTTTTTCACACCTTCGGGTGAAACACAAAAGGCCTGGGTGCATTTGCTCCTGGACTTCAGACAAACTGATCTCTGAATCAAGATGGGAAAGTTCTGTTGGCGTAGCCCAGGAGGAGTGTTATTACCTGAATTACAACTTTCCTCTTCAGCCAGCAAATAAAGCAGAGATTAGGCAAGAAGCCTGCTGTAAATCTACCCTAATCACCCTGGTAGATGGGAAAGGCACTTGTTGCCCTCTATTTAATGGGGAAGATGCCAGAAGGTGCCCTGGGTCTGCTCTGAAGGGAGAGATGCTGAGATATTGATGGAAGGTTTTAAGCATTAGACACATAAGGGAACACCTCTTTTATTGTCAGAGTGAAATTTAGGACTATCCTACAGTCCCTTCAAGGTGGAGGCTGGGAGGGATGGAGGGAACAGAGAGCTATCACTTCATAGCCGGTTCAAAACAACCTCCCAACTCCTTCTCTGCAGCCCAAAGCAAGGGGGAGTTAAAGGCACAGTAAGTCTTCTCCACAGCGTCTTGCTGCCCTACCCAAGGAGCAGGACCCAAATGTGGGTAGATCTGAAGACACATCCATTGCCATTACTGTTTCTGCTCAAGCAGCATGCAGAGATCTTCCTCAGCTCCACGGCCCATGTGGCCAGGACAACCTCTATCAGCCACGAGGACAGTGCAAGGAGCACCATGATTTCTGCCTTTCCTCAAAGGATCTCTCAACCAGCCAGACTGGTCATCATTTACAATTTGCAAAGCAAGGAAGAACGTTAGACCCCCACAGTCCATGTTTCTTCCTAGCATGCATGGAGCCTGCTTGGACAGAAGCAGTCTTATGGGGAAGGGCAGCAGCAGATGGTCTGTCACATTATGGCTTTTCCTGCACTACACGCTTGTCCCAGAGCCAGGCAGGGCTGCAGGACTCAAGATAACTTTTCTCAGATGCTCTTATGCCACACATAGTATCACATGCTACCACAACTCTGCACCAAGACCCTTTGCAGGGAAGAATCATCAGCGCTCAACACGCTGACAGCAAAGACTTCCAGTCCTTTTTAAAGCCTCACAAAGCATTAGCAGAGAAAATACATTTAAAAAACTTAAAAATACAATAAAAATCACATTCTCCAAATGCCATAAGGAGGAAAATCTGCACAAACTGAACAGTGGCTGTGGGAACTGCCATGCTGCCCCGGATGGCTGTGGGATGAGCAGCGACGTCAAGCTCTGCATTGCCAACAGTTAAATGAGGCTCCCTTTGCCTTGATCATCCCAACCACTTTGCTATTCTGGTTTCTGTGGTCTGCAGCACACTCATACCCCAAACAGCTCCCACCTGGCTACAAAGTCAAGGCAGCCCTGATTGAAAAGCAATTAGGAGTTGTTTTGTTCTTTCTTTGTGCCTCAACAGCAGTGAATCACAGTCAGTCCGACTTGGAAATCAATTACAAACAGCAGGTTACTTGTCCTGCAGATGTAAAAACCAAACGGAGAATGCTTTGGTATTTATAGCCAGCAGAGCAAGGCTAACAGATCGAGCCTTTAAAGGAGTCACAGAGGCCTGCCACCGGAAATCTGGCTTTAGTGAGTTGCTACAGTAATAACACAAACAGCAAGAGACTTGGAAAATGCCTTCAGCATTTGCGTTGCTTAACTATGGCTAGCAAGTAGTGCTCCCAGCCACTTGGAACGTGAACTCTGGAGGGTGAAAAGTCACCCTAATTGTCAAGGGAAAGGTAGAATCAGCATTACTATTTTAATAACAATAAGGACACTGCCCATAGACCAAAGCCACATTGTGCAAAGTGCTGTACAGAGCCAAAGCAACTTGCAAGTAGAGAGCACCTCGCCTTCATGCTACTCAGGGCTTGGCTGCCTCAGTTGGATTATTTTTCTTATCTTATCTCAGAAAAAGAGGCACTGTTCTGTGTTAACGTTCTCTAGATTTACAACCTCCTTAGAAAATGAAATTGAGTACTAGGTTAATTCTTGCTAGGAAAGAGACTTTGCAGGGGTCTGAAATAGCTTTGCTGTAGAAAAGCTTGAGTGCTGCGGTCGTTACACAAGTGAGAGGAAAGAGGGAAGAAGCTGAAGCCGTGCCAATATCCACAGTGGGACAAGTTTTACATTACACAGTGAAATTTAAAGTAAGCTGCAAACTTTCAACAGCTTCTCTCCCTCGGGGCTCAGGAGTTGATTTCAGTGTGAACAATATTGAACATTAAGTCCACTCCTAGTACTGTTCTAGGTGTATTTCTGATCTGTCAACTCCATCTCCCACAAAGACAATTTCATGGATCCCAAGTCTTTCCTCAGGTATTTTACTGTCTGAAGCCCATAAAGGTATTCATAGGGCTCAAAAGCAGCTAAATGCACGCACACCCAGTTCAGCCTGCTGGCAGGGTGGGCAGCAGGGACTCATGCAACGTGCAATGACAATCTCTCTCCCAGAACTATGCCATTCAAACTACTACCCAGGCAGGCGATCTGAACGGAGGAAAAAGTTGCCTTCAAGTCCTTTTCTGTTTCAGGCAGCTGATACAATGAAAAGACTCAAAGGATACAGGTGGTAGGGAACAAAAAAAGGAAAAAAAATAGTAAAATAAATAAAAACTGTGAATGTCACTTCATTAAGACAAGTAGACTGAGACAGCTCCAAGATAGAAAGGGATTAACTCCCAGCAGACCGATATTGCAGGCTTGCTGTCCCGGAACCCACTTCCCTCTTTGTATACTCTGTTTTTGACTGACAACCCAGGAGCATTCATTATGTTTGGGACTTTCCCATTGCTCCCACCACCCCACCCCATCTTTTCCCAGAGGGACAGAGTACCCTCCGCCTTCCATCCACTGCATCACAACTGTGGGAGATCCTACGTGACTTTTACAAGACCCATGAGATGGAGTTCAGTGCATCACTAAACCCAGCATACATATTCCTTGCCTCCAAACACCGGTTCAGGAATTACTGACTCTCCTTATACACACACAAACCTTAAAACACATCCAGTGTGTTGCTTCTGAGGACAAGGCATGTGCTGCCCATGGGTGCCTGGCTCATGGGTGCCAATTACCACTCTCATTTTGGAGGCTCCTTATGATTTTGGACCAAACCCTTCCTCAGGCTCAGAGCACGTTCCATCTCCTCTCTGCCTTGGAGTG